CTCCAATGCTTTAGCAACAACGATACAAGATCGTTTGTTATAAAGACAGCTAGAACATGGCAACATTAGGTTGCTGTTCTTTCGATACAGTCTATAAGAAGAATGACATTCTTTGATTTTTGTGTGTCTACTAGAAGACATAATAAGTAGCGCAACCTACTTGGCAATTAAGTAGGCATTACCCTACTTAAGTAATTAGCGATTTCCTTAATTAGCAAGACCTAAGGGACTAGGCCTTTAGGAGGGGGACCTAGTGTTATGGCTATGGTAACATGATGATCAAGCATATAAGGAATTACCACAGCTTATCCTCGACTAGGACAAGGAAAAAACCCTTGTTATTAATGACTAAAGTATAACGTGCGTGCATAACGTATGATACAACATAACGAATGATACAGTCCAATGTGCTCACTTAACAAATACTATGATAATTCCACTACAACGCTATAAATCAATTAAAGCTATGTAGAATACTCATCCTCAGATACCTCTATTACCATCTGACAGGTGCGTGCATTGTGTTTTGTGCCACCACAGTTGCCACAGCACCTTACGCGTGTTTCTTTCCTTGGCTTCCGACCACTCCCTGCCTGTGTTTCTTGCTTTACTTGTTGTGCAAGGTCCCTCTCATCTTGTAACTCTTGTGCTTCGTATTGTGTAAGTGATCCTCCTTGCTGTAGGCGTGTTTTTTTAGCCCTTCTGCGTTTCTAAGTTGTTCCATCCCTTGCTGAAGCATTTCGTTCTCTGCTTTTAACAATGCTAATTGATACATCATTTGTGATGCTCCCTTTGCAAATTGGTCAACAGCATTGTAAATAGAGGTTGGTGAGCTATTTTGATGATGTGCAATTCGATTTTTAATGAAAGCTGTCTGTGATAAGGCTTCATTTTGGTTATTTGGTGTCTGGGAAACCCAAGGTTGAGTGGTGCTAGGGCGGGAGTTTTGTGGTGTTGGGGTTCTAAATCTGAGATCAAGCATAGAAACCACACTATCAGGATCAAATGGGAAAAGCCCAGTGCCTCGGAAGCCTCCTCGGATGTTGTTTTCAGTCATTGCAATAAAGAAAGCAGCGTGAAATGCGGGAAAGAAGTCATCCTTCGTAATATGCGTGATGTGAGCCTGCATCATGTTTTTGATTTGCTGCCCATAAGCCCTTTTCAGTGGGCCAAAACACCCAACATCGAGTGGTTGGAGGATATGAGAAGAATGAGCTGGCATACATAGAGTGATAATATTGTTTTCCTTGCAGTATTCCTCAAATTCGTCTGAGTGATGGCTTTCATGACCATCAACGATCAACAAACGATAACCACCTACAGTTCGAGGTTTTGTATGCTTCTCGAAATGTTGGTTCCAATCCATGCCTTTCTCATTTGTTGTCCAACCATTATCTGTAACAGCAATTACCCAGTTTGGTGGAAATCCGCTGTTTTCATACCAAGACGTGAGGTGGTTTTTGCCTGCAACAATAATAAATGGTGGAATCGCCCAACCTTGGGAATTAACACCCTGTATTACTGTAGCCCATTCACGATTGCCAGGCTGTACTTTCTTTGCCTTCATACATCCATCAGAGCTTGTTACCACTGTTGCAGTTGAAATAATGCCCATCATAAACCCTGTCTCATCGAAGTTGTAAATATCCGCATCGTGGATGCCGTACTTCACAATTGTGTTTCGCACAAGCTCAAACCAGCAACGAATAATTACTGGGTCTTCGCATTTAGCCCTCTGATAGTCGTATTTGCGCTGGAACCTTGTTTTGAGTTCTATGCGACGTTTGACAAAGTTGGAAGCCCAGCGCGTCTTGACAGGTAACGCGTCGCTTGTCACGAGAAGTCAATTTGCAATATCTCCCACAACAGACAATCGGGGAGGAAATCCTTTAGCAGCTAGGTCGAGAATATACTGGATAAGGATTGATTCCTCTAAGTCGGTTATTTGCCGCAAATTGGCAGAAATATCGCGTCATGAATGCATACCATGCTTACGACGACTAAGCTTCTGATGATTGACAGAATAGAGCTTTCCAGCAGCTCGAGCACTTAGCTTAGGGTCATTTTGCATTGCCTGAAGAGCTAATATATCTTGGCGTTCATCGTTTTTCTGCGGCATCTTTTGTTGTGAAGGGATTTACTGTTTACTAGAGGAGTTGTGTGGATTCAAGGTAGTGTATCATTCGTTATGTTGTATCATTCGTTATGTTGTATCATTCGTTATGTTGTATCATTCGTTATGTTGTATCATTCGTTATGTTGTATCATTCGTTATGCACGCACGTTACCACTTATGTATTAGAAGATACTATATAAAGACAGTCTTCCAACTTACTAGAAGGTAATTCAGAATAACTAGTGTTAATGGTGTTACGATATCAAGTGCGCCTTGCAGCTCGAGTGGGGGTTCAGGGGTGTGGGGAGCTTTCCGGGGTTGGAGCGAAGTTTTCAGTTGTGGAGTGAATTCTCAGAACTGGTCTCACTAAAGAGAATTCACTCCACAACAACATAGCTGTATATAGATCGAGCCACTGCTCGAGTGCTCCTCTTCTCTTTCCTTTCTTCTCTAGATTGAGTTTAATTCATAATACCCAACTGGCGCCCTATGCCTTGGTGAACCGTGACAAATGGAGGGTAAGCTACTCTAATACACCTTATTACCTTGATGCTAACGAATATATTAGTTTGTTTATTACTCATTTGTTGCGTGCTAGCGAGATTGGGAGAAGTATGGCAAGTTCTTGTCCATAATGAGACTCTATAGTACTCTCTAGGAGGAGCGCAAAGCAGCTGATAAAGCTGATGTAGATATAGCAAGGAAGGACTACTTAATGCATCGTGGGGCATGAGAGAAAGGAGCAGTACTTATGAAGAAGGATGTTGATATTGCTCGTTTATGGCGATAAAATAACAATATAAGTGTATAGTGGTAGCATAGGTTCTAGTATATAGTAGGCCATAGGCTATATAGAGCAATTTATACTCTAAAAACAGTGTTTACATGGCTTTATTTCAAAATCCTCGAGGAAACGAGGAATCATCTGCGTATTGCGCAGGTGATTTTTTACTCGTTTGCCGAATTCATAGGTGAAAAAATACGATGCGCATGCGCAAGTGATTTCTCTAAAATTCAAATTTTCCCTCGCCTACGGCGACCCCATTTTATCGTAAAAAAAGTTTTGAGGCCTCACGACTGCGCTTACGAGGTGGCTACAGGGGGGTTGGGGCCGGCCCACTTGGTGGCTCATTGGCAGCCAAACCCAAAGGGGTGCGCATCGTATTTTTTCCAACAATAATCCCCATCCCCCATTCTTCCATCCATCATGCCAAGGCCCGTCCTCGGCATGAGCAAGTTCTCTAGTGCCCAACAATGCCCCCAAAGCACCAGAATCAGCAATCAGCGTCATAATGTGACCTGATGATCGCAAAGGGCAGTCATGGGCGCGTCCGGCGGGCCGTGCTGTAAATCATTTGGAGGGCGGATGGGGCAGCCAAGGTAAGTAGTTCTGTGCGCAGAAACACGGCCGAGAATGCTGGGAAGGGGGGCATAAAAATACAGATGATCCATCCACAGCGTATTCGGCATACGGAGTACGATGAAATGCTTGGAAGACTCCGCGTCTGGAGGATAGGGCAGCCTGTCAAGTCGTTCAGAGCTCTCCTTGCTTTCTTCGGACGGAGCATGACGCTTTGAGTAAGATACGGCTTTATCCATCTACCCGCAGGATTCAAAGGGGAAGGCCATTCAGCGAAAAGGGCTGTGTGCTGGATGAGCTGAAAAAAAGTAGCTTCGCCATCTTCCTCCCCGACCGATCGATAGGCGACTACGTATTGACTGTGAAGCTCCACATGTCAACCCCTGCCACAGTCGCATTGAAAAGCGTCTGAACCACGCTGTCGGAATTCATATTTTTGTCTGACCACCACCACACCCGGACCAGATTTGTTGGCTATGCTCGGTCGTTTGCGCGTGCTAAACCCACACTGTTGAAGAAATTCGGGTTAGGCGGGATAGAGAGTTGGCCGGTTGGAGATGTGGAGTCTGAGCCCTATATGTCGTTGTAATATTATATGGGTAAAAGAATCATAAGTTATCATGTAAACTAGTAAAAAAGAACGCTTTACCCCCGCTAGCCCCGTAACCATGACGTCACGTTACTGTAGCCGTAACACCCCCCTAATTAGCCTACTTTCTACTTTCCCCGATCCCCCTTCCTCTACCAATTCGACTAACTAGAGGAGGTGAGGCACATAGAGTGTGATAATGTTGCTAGCTTGACAGCAATCTTCAAATTCAACTAAGTGGTGGCTTTCGTGTCCATTGAGGACTAGGAGGCGATAAACATCCTTGCGCTTAAGAGCATGCATATTTAAAACCCAGTCTCATCAAAATTGTAGGTGTCCAACTCTTAGATGCTGTATTTAGCAATTGTGTTGCTAACGTGTGATAAGCTCGGGTTGGCGCTGTACAAAGCGTTGCGGTCCATACGAAGGCGATTAGCCATTTCTTGGATATCGCTAAGCTGGGGCTGAAATCCTCGCAAATCTAAGTTAAGAATACGCTCAAGAAGCACTTCCTCCTCTAGATTGGTCAAATTCCTTGAATTGGCCATAATATCGCGTCGTGTTTTGTCTCTAGCGCGTCGGCATATGAGGGTTGTATAGGAGACCAGGTATATATCCTTGCAGCAGTCGGATAGTTAGTTTCGGTTCTTTTTAAAGGGCCTTAATTGCAAGGTGTATACGGTTCTCGTTTGAAGAAGATTCCATTTTTAATGAGGGAGAAAAGTGGTTGTGAAGGTTAAGTGGTAAATTAGACAGGAAAGTGGACCGTTTGGTGTGTTGGACCGTTCGGTGTACAAATACGTTATAGGTTATCCAGCCGATTATCAAGTTATTACAAGGTCTGATTTGGCTTATCGTGAATGTAAGTAAGGGATAAGGCATAACAGTAGGTAAGGGGCGTCCTAGCGTTTGTTGGAGCTGGAACAGGCGGATGTGTTGGAACGATGTTGGAATGACAGTTTTGCGCTTATAGTTGAATATATTATGATGTTGGATGTATGTATGGAAGAGATCACTTGACGTAGGCGGCTGCATGCGATTTTTACAAACAAACTCCCTTGCGCCTTGGGAGAGCCCCTGCTCCTCGACAACACAGCAATTTGTCTGCCGTCTTCCACCTCCCCGAGACACCTGTTATACCGTCAACATGGAATATTTCGACCCGTTCGCGCGGCCGTGAAAAAAATCCACAGTACCAAGCGAAGTGAGCATTAAAAAAGCTACTTTTACCTCTACGGGTGATACTAACTACGTCTTACCAGGTGCTGAATACCTTGCAAAACGCAAGCCGTGGTGCACCCACTTGTCCAACTGCCAATGGAGATTCTCATTGCTATTTTCAAGGAGGTCGATGATATTGACCAGCTTGCTCTCGCAGTGTCTTGCAAGCACCTCCTCCAAGTTTTTACACTTGTTTCTTTGAAAACTAGCATCTGGCTGAAGGATATCCTGGTTCGGCTGCTAAGTCCTACCACGAACGCCCGGAAAATCTGTTCCGTGTGTACATTATACCGACCGACTGGAAAATCTGTATCGGTTGCACACAACACCGTCTGCATCGTCGTGGCATTTTTTGTTGCCGAAGTGCATAGCGCCGTTCCAGCATTCATGAGAAACATCCCATTCTGGAACGTCGCTGAAGTAGGCAACAAACCATGTAGTTACCACAGCTACCATAGCACATGTCAGAAGCCAATAAAATATTAGAATTTGAGTGATGCGAGGTCTCTCGTCCCAAAATCGCCGACTCAACAAGTCCGGTCGTTCGGTTGGTAAAGTCCTCCACATATCCGCAAGCGCCCAGAGCACTCTGAAACATGTTTCCGGGGCCGAAACCACCTTGTTGGCACTTTGTCATGCACATGACTAGGTATGTTTGAGGATTGCAGTAGTTGCCCTTCTGATCCCGATGCATCAGGGCATTTCGCCCGACCTTACTCCGTACCTGCCGGAACGATGGTCCGCCCGGAATCATAGGCAGGAGATTGGCAGTTCAAGATTCCAATACAGTAGACACGCTATACTCTCTACGCACAATGATGAAGACATCACCATCACCAGCACCGACCCCAAACCCGACGACCCCCTCCGCCGCGTTACGCCCGGCTGAAGCACCGACCGAGGTCGAGGACATGTATGAGATCAGCACAGTCAATGATGAGACTCTCCTTCCCCTACCCTTCCCCTACCCTTCCCCTACCCTTCCCCTACCCTTCCCCTATCCTTCCCCTATCCTTCCCCTATCCTTCCCCTACCCTTCCCCTATCCTTCCCCTACCCTTCCCCTACCCTTCCCCTACCCTTCCCCTACCCCAGAGGCATATGGTCTTTTGTGTTGGAACGGAGCCAATCATGCCCGGTTTCCAAGGTATGACGCGACGGGCAACCCACCCGCCTACCTGGCTCGCTGTCTTTTGGATCGTTGTTGCTTGTTGTACCGGTCACACGATTCCGCACACCACGATTCCGCACACGATTGCAGATTGTAGCAAGGGTATACATCTGTGCAATGGATTGCAACTCTTATGTACACTACGTACGTGTACGTGCACGGCTGGGGAGGAGGGGTGTTGTACCCGTATCACGGAGTACTATATCGGTCGTTGATGTAAGCGAGCAGTACGCTAGGTTGAGAAATGGGACGATCGAGTTACATCCAACGCGAGGCCGTGCTGAATGGGATGGGATGGGATGGGATGGGATGAGATGGGATGGGATGGGATGAGATGGGATGGGATGAGATGGGATGGGATGGGATGGGATGGGATGGGATATCAAAAGCGAACCGCCTTCACCCCATGGCACGCATATGCACTTTATGAGGCTTGCCCTCCTTGCCCTCCCCCCTTATCCTTTTCTAACATCCATCCATCTCTTCTCCATACTTCGTCACCAAAACGTTGTCGCCAAGAGCCTTCACTTTCTCAACATCAGCACCAAATCTCCACCAAAAACCACCGTCCGATAGCCCCTGCTCGGCAGCAGTTTGAGCAACGAAACAACGCTAGAGTAAACGCTACCATGCCAGCACATATTGACAAGGGCAGATGCCCACGGTGCAAACACACACTGCGTGGGGCAACTTTCTGGGTCGACCACAATCCCACAATCCCACTGGGACAATCCCCCATCCCACCATCCCACAATCCCATCCCACAATCCCACAATCAGACATACCGCAAGGTACAGTAGCTCGCTGCATGAATAACGCTCCTCTGGTGCATGTACCGAAACCAGGGGGCAAGGCACAATCACTATCACTATCACTATCACAATCACATCAATTTTACAACAAACAGCTACTCAACGACAAAGTTAGCTGGTGCTGGCAATTATTGTGGAGTATAAAAGTACGATAATACCGACTGGAGTACTCGAGTACTTGAGTACCAGAGTACCCAGAGTACCCAGAGTATCCGTGCGAGCCAAGCCAACATCGACGGGGGACGAACGACATAATTTAGACGCCAACCCCATCAATTGCCGCTTGGGAATCAGGTTCGCACTTAAAAGTAGCCTGCTACCTTCCTGCACCACCCATCCACCCACCCACCCATCCACCCATTCCCCGTTCCGCCGCCACAAGAACCCCTCACACCGGCCTCGCACCATTTTTCAGATACGCGACCCTTACTTCACTACCAACGTTTTTTGGTTTATAAAACATCACCACAACGATCTCCAGCTCCCTACCTCACCGAATCTCTATTCCACTACTATTCTACTATTCTACTATTCTACTATTCTACTATTCTACTATTCTACTATTCTACTATTCTACTATTCTACTATTCTACTATTAAAAGCTTTTGAAACCCTTACCTTAACCCGTCGTTTCGTTCGAAACGCAAAGGTCCACGACCCGAAAACACAGTTCATGTCGCCATCATAGATAGCATCCTGAGACACTGTCCCCTCCCAGGTCTGGCTCAATGGTCGTAGTGATGGCCACCAATGGGTACGTGCTTCCCTCCTTCCCATGTGCCAATCGAGTCCCTATCAGTGATCGCATTCCTCACCAGCCTCGCCCCTCTCTCGCTATCACTTTTCCCTCTGCCCCCACCACGCTGCTCACCCTTCATTCATGGACAGCCACACTGACAGATATCTTTGGCGCCTAGTACTCACCCTCATCAGCAGCATACCATGGCTGGCAACCCCCCCGATTACGAAGAGAATGGGCGCTTGTATCACGGCTACCGAAAGGGCATTTACATGTTCCCATGCGACGAGGTACGGAACCCCTCACAAAGCTTTTCTCGTGCAGCTTCACAAGCCCCCCACACACTGGACTGACATCTTGCGCGCGCACAGGAAGAGAAGGATCGCATGGATATCTTCCACCAGTTCTTCCTTGTAGCACGAGGCGAGCACTCCTCTGCACCATACGACAAGAACTACGATGGGCACAGGATACTGGATTTGGGCACTGGGACTGGGATATGGGCGATTGACATGGCTGAGTAAGAATAGTGCTCCCTCAAACTGGCACAGTGCTGACAGCGATCCTGCAGCAAGTATCCCAGCGCTGAGGTTATGGGAATTGACATTTCACTGATACAGCCGCAAACGTAAGCATTCCAACCGCGCACCTGCCTTAGCCGCGCTCATGCAGCAGTCCATAGGCTGACTTAGATTGCGCAGCATTCCCCCAAATCTTCAGTTTAGGAGACGCGATTTCGAAGCAACCTGGCAAGGCCTTCCTATGGATTCGTGGGACTTGATACATCTGCGGATGCTGGCAGGTTCGATATCCAGTTACCAGGAACTATACGCAAATATCTTTCGGTATGTTAGACACCTGTAGACATGGCACTGGACTGCTGCTTACTCAGCTCATAGGCATCTCAAGCCCCAATTCGGCTATTTAGAGCATATCGAGATCGACTTGAGTCCTAGATGCGACAACGGCAGCCTTCCCCGCAATGCCGCGTTATATGAGTGGGCGAACAACCTCATGAGTGCGACTGAGCAGGCCTACAAGCCGATGGCTTACAATACCGAAACTGGATCAATGCTCCAGAATACGGGATTTGTTGGAATCAAAGAACAAATCATCAAGATACCTTTCAACCCCTGGCCACATGATGCATACCAGAAGGATATCGGCAGGTGGTTCAACCTGGGCTTGTGTCAAGGGCTTGAAGCATTGACTCTGGGTCCTATGACTAGAATCCTTAATTGGGATCGGGGCCGCGTTGCAAGATTGGTTGCGGACGTGAAGAGGGAGATCTGCACGAAGAGGCATGAGGTCTACTGCGAAATGCACATATGGACAGCGCGCCGTCCCGCTTGAACCCCGCCATACCTCACATAATAAGCGCATCGTCGCATTCCACGGGCCAAGTGCCACTTTTCTGCGAGCATCGCAAATCCGAATCCAGTCTTAATTTATCGACCAGAGTGTCGACGCGGCCTCAGCTTTGTGACGGCCCCGCTACTACAGGCAACCCCTGACTTTGGTATCGACACCCCCACCTTCGATACATCCTCGGTTTGTGAGGACTGGATTTTTATTTGTCGGCCAGACACGCCGAGAATCAGTGAATCGTCGGGCCTGTAGGCTCTGTGCTCTGTCGTATTCGGCCCTTTATGCCACTAACCGCGATCTGGAACAGCTTGATGCAATCTAAAGCGCACACACGATCGATCGTTGGGCTCGAGACGACCCCGCACCTCTGGCCTAAAATCTCGTCACGGTCAATCTATGCAGCAGACCAAGGTGACATCACACGAAAAGTAATACGTCGTGCACCGCGAGAATGTCTCAGCAATCCGGCGTCCTGGGATTGGGACACAGCAGGTAACAAGGGTTCAAAATAATATTATTTTTCAGAGAAAACAAGAGATACCAAGCAGCAGTGGTGGAATGTACGTGGAACGTGTTCGTGCAGCGAGATGGGCGAGATGTGACTTTTGACGGCAGATACTTCGGTTTTGGGGGTTAGGCGGCGGGTTATACCCCTGGTCATGGGCGGGAGACGCTCGGATGGTGACCTGCCACCTCAGCCATGACGCGGACGTCACCGGACCAGGCAGACCGACCGATGCGATGGGACGGTGGGAGGTAACACAAAGGGTCTGCACGGCGATCTCACGGCCAAGACAAATATTGGAGAAATGAATGCGGGGGAGAGGAGTTGTAGTTAGTACGTCTGCGTGCAATACCGGCATTTTCGAAGTCAAAACGCATTTGGGTAGCTAGGGTTTTCGGGGGGTGTTCAAGAGATGGATGGCTAGATTGTGATGGATTTTTTGTAAGGATCCTTTCGTGATAGTTCACTTCAGCGGGCGGTGGTTGAGTTAGATTAGCTGGGTCTGGTTACTGCGATGCCTTTGATGGTTATGGGAAGCAAAGAAGTTTGGAGTTTTCGCATTTGGGAGATACACATGGCTGGGCAGCTTTCGCGTTGAAGCATTATGGCACGGAATGGGAGGAGGATTAGACAACAAATTCTAGAGGTATATGAATAGAATAGGCCAATTAATAGTCAATCAAGTTTGACATGCTACAAGAAGCTGAGATGGTGAGGGTACGGTGAGCCGACTTCGGCGATGTTTGGTGGTGGTTGAGTATTTCGGTTTCTGTGAACAAAATAAATCAATTCAATCATTAAAAAGTGCAATGGATAATTCTTATACTTATGGACGAAGACCCCTCCAATTTCTTTTGGTTTTACTGTTGTCGTCGTCTGGCCAGCACTTCGACTTGGCTCGTTTTAGTCTAGGTGCTACCCTGGGGGTCGTTGCTGTGCCAACCTGTTTTGTTGACGAGAGCCCATAAAGTCTCGCCCACACCTCACCTCTCACACTTTTCTCACCACTTCACTTGTACACTCTATATCCCCTAATCTCCTCATCCTCTACCGCTCTACCAAACATCCTCGAAGCTTATCAAGAATACTTTTTAAAGTCCACTAGATCAGTATTGCTTACCAGCCTACTGATCGCCTCCGTGGCCCATTCTTCACGAAGCCATTTTCGATTATCGAGCACAAAAACCGAATATACTAACCCCACACACTACCAGGAACCATTAGGTTGAGTCTCTTGGAGCTCGCTCGATTATTGAATCTTCGCCATCGATCGATACATTAGATTGTCTTTCGACCGAGATCAATCACCGACTGCACATCATGACAACCGCCGTGTGCACGCCCATCAAGTCCCACGCCGGCATGTTCTCCTCGAGGACCGCCGGCGGCCGGATGCCACTTACCCCCTCTCCTCGCATGCGAGCGATGGCCCAGCCAGTCAACAACTCGTCTCCATTCACCCCCGAGCGTCCCGCTTCCAAGGACGAGAGCATCCGCGCATCCAAGTCCACCTACGGCGGAAACCTCGCCGCACATTTCACCAAGTCCTCGTCAAGGACGCACAGAGACTCTCCAAAGTCGAACATTGCTCGCGTTGTGGCAACTCCTCGCCGCGCCCTTGAGCTCGGCGTCTCGGATTTCACACTCGTTGGCACTGGTGCCAAGACCCCTTCCAGCTCCAAGTCGAGGAAGGCGCCGCTTCGAACGAAGTCGAACAAGACCACCATTTCATACGGCGGTGACAGGTTCATCCCAAACAGAACTGCTAGCTCCGGCATTGTCACAGCTGGCTCTGGAAAGCTCGATGCTGCGGACAAGCAGCGCCCAAAGACCAGCAATGGCGATGGATCCTCGGTCCTTGCTTCCGCTGCTACCGCTTTCGACGTCGGTGGACGTGGCGCTGATGACGATGTTGCCGCTGCTTTTGACGGCCTGAACCTTGCCGATGAGGAGTCAGCGACCACATACTCTCGCCCATCACCAAACTCCGTTGCCTACCAAGACTCGTTGGCGTCTGCCTGCGGCATCTCGCGAAACACCCGCATCCTTGCTTTCAAGCCTGCCCCTCCTGAGTCGTCCAAGCCAATCGACCTTCGCTCCCAGTACAACCGTCCTCTCAAGCCTGCCAGCTCTACCACTGCCCAGTTCAGACGCCGTGTCGCCACTGCCCCAGAGCGTGTTCTTGATGCCCCTGGACTCGTTGATGACTACTACCTCAACCTTCTTGACTGGAGCTCCAACAACCAGGTTGCCATTGGCCTCGAGCGCAATGTCTACGTCTGGTCCGCTGAGTCCGGAACCGTCAGCTCTCTTCTTGAGACTAGCCCGGACACCTATGTCAGCAGCGTCAAATGGTCTGGCGACGGAGCATACGTCGGCGTTGGACTCGGCACGGGTGAGGTCCAGATCTGGGACGTTGAGGAGGGCACCAAGCTCCGCAGCATGCACGGACACGATACCCGTGTTGGTGTTATGGGATGGAACAAGCACACTCTGTCCACCGGTGTCCGCAGCGGCCTCGTCTTCAACCACGATGTGCGCATCGCCCAGCACAAGACCGCCGAGCTCATCTCCCACACCTCCGAGGTCTGTGGCCTCGAGTGGCGTGCCGACGGTGCCCAGCTCGCTACCGGCGGCAACGACAACCTTGTCTCCATCTGGGACGCTCGCTCCCTCTCCGTCCCCAAGTTCACCAAGACCAACCACAAGGCTGCCGTCAAGGCCATCAGCTGGTGCCCATGGCAACCCAACCTCCTTGCCACCGGTGGCGGATCCTACGATCGCCACATCCATTTCTGGAACTCCACCTCTGGTGCCCGCGTCAACAGCATTGACACCAGCTCCCAGGTGACCTCCCTGCGCTGGAGCCCTCACTACCGCGAGATTGTCAGCACCAGCGGCTTCCCCGACAACTCTCTCAGCATCTGGAGCTATCCAACGCTCGTGCGCAACGTCGAGATCCCCGCCCACGAGACTCGCGTCCTCCACAGCTGCCTCAGCCCTGACGGACAGATGCTCGCCACCGCCGCCGCGGACGAGTCCCTCAAGTTCTGGAAGGTCTTCGAGAAGAAGGCTGGCGCCGCGTCTTCTGCGGTCGCCGGCACCGCCTCTGGCAAGGCCGAGATGGTCAAGCAGATGACCATCCGCTAAACTAACTGATATCTACCGAGCTTGCTCGCTGTATGCGCACCCTACACGCCTGGGGCGCAGGTAAAGTATCACAAAATTTCAAATAGGATTTGGGTCTGGCTTTAGCGGGGTCTGGTCTTGTTTCCTGAGCGTGGAGTTGATGGGGATTATGACGGTTTTTCTCCCACTTGATTGTCCATGGCCGAAAGTGCTTCACCTGGTCTTTTGCGAGCATGTTTATTATCTGGATATTACGACGGATGGGGGTTCTGGGGACGATGATGGATGAGGGTTCTTATGATTTCGAAATTTGTTTTCTGTTTCTTACACGAGAGGGGGGAAGTGTTGTAGACTATGTTTTGTGATTAGCTAGGGGTATGTGATAATGTATCTCTTGGCTTAACCATGATATCTTTGGTTCTTATTTGCGATTCTTCATGTTATCATCAGGTGGTAAATACAGGTCTGAGATCTGCAGTGTCAAGTGCGGGGGCGGCTACTGGCAGGTGTGGGGAGTGTTGGGGTGGACCACAGCATGTATGGATCAGTGAAGAGATGTAAATATCAATGGATAGAGTCAATTGATGTATCAATAACCATAACGACAATAATATGTATACGCAAACCATAGTTTTTTATGATTGTTAGAACTGAATCTACAGTAAAACCGTTGTTCTCCCGTGACGATTTGCTCGGCGAACTAGTGAGGGTATCTCACCGGTTATGTAAGCGAGCGATGCCCATCAATCAGTCCACCAGCCGAGCAAGCTCTCCAGAAACATCCCAGAACGGGCCTACGACCACAACACCTCTAGCTCACCTCAACACTCATAAACCCAGTGATTTCAGCGCGGCATTACGGGGGCTTTTGAATGACAGGGAGGGCTCGCCGGCTTACGATCTCTACACGCGGTGGAGGAGGGAGGCTAGATCGGCTGGGTTCCTTGTACGGTTCGCTTGGGGACCAGAGGAGACTGTGAAGGGGCCGAGACGGTTGCATTTACATCGTTGGAGGGTTTCTGAAGAGTAGCTTCAGGCGAATATCGAGCACCTCGACACTGGATTGCATATTCACCCGTCCATCCTGCAGGTAGAACAAGGAGTTGGCAACGCACACGACCTCTTGCGACATCACCATCTATACTCTCACCCAGGATTCATAGCGCCATCTATACTCTCACCCAGATTCATAGCGAACCCATCCAGACGGCAAGATGTCGAACCAGACGGTCGGAGCTGTTTACCAGCAGATTATCCGCGATGTTGTTGATAGTTCGAGGGTCGATTTCGAGGAGGGTGGCGTTGACGAGAGTGTGCTCGACGAACTGAGTCGGGTGAGTTCCTTCCATCTCTGCTGTACCTGTTATTCCCCATCGCGACCTATTTTCATCGCATCATCATTTCCTTTCGTATCAAATATTCCCGACGAGCGATGCGAAAACCCCGATCGGCGCGCCAGTCGGTCGTCGTCGTCGGGTTGCGCTGTCGTGGCTGCTGTTCTGGCTTGCGCGCGCTGGCCACTGCACAGGCGAGGAATTCAGAATCAGCGGGGGCCCAGCGGTATATGGTCGCTTTTATGATCACAGGGAGATGCGGTCTCGCTTGGACTAGCGCGCTTTTGGGCCCAGCCTCACATGACTGGAACACGACAGCACAGCCATTTGACGGAAACTCATACTTTGCATTTGAATTAATATCTTTTGGGGGATTGATGTAGGATGTGTGCTAATGGAGATTTAATAGGTATGGCAACAAAAGTTGACGGCGCTGAACGTGGCCCAGTTTCCGTGGGACCCGAAGCCAGAGGTACCCCCTGCTCAGCAGCAACAGAACATGGCGAATATCCCCTCCAGCATGTCCTACCCCCAAGAGCCAACACCGGCTCCCATGCAACAGCAGCAGCATGCTCCACCCCAACAGGGGCAGTTCATGAACCGTCCCGGCCCGCTGATCCCAGCCCAAGCGCCGCAGTTCCCACAGATGCCCCAGGTGCCTCAGATGAACGCCGGTCCGCGCATCAAGGCGGAGCCTGGTCTCGAGAGTGGCGGCATGCCGCCCGTGTACACTGGGATGGGGAATGCGACGACGGCGCAGCAGCGCGCGGCGCTGAATTTGCAGGCGAGCTATGGGGCGAGGGCTGCGGCGAGTATTAATGCCATTCAGGGGATGCCGCAACAGGGTCAGCCGCAACAGCAGCAAGGGCAGCCTCCGCAGCAGCCTAGCCCGCAGCAGGCCCAACAGCAGGCTCAGCAGCAGCAACAGCAGATGCACCAGGCTCAACAAAGACCACAAGCACCATCAATCCCGCGGCCTCAGATGACGCCGTCGCAATACCAGCAGGCACTAGCGCAGCAAGCAGCGCACCAGAAGCAGCAGCTGGAACAGCAGGCGAAAGCCAGACAGCAAGCTGCGGCTCAGCAGCAACAGCAACAGGGGCAGGGTGCTCCCAATGGGGCGCAGCATGCGCAGACTGATGGTGGTGCTGACGACGAGGATGAGGACCGTCATCGCCACTTTGGCGTTATTAAGCAAGTTGGTGGTGATGGGTCGGAAATCAACATGGGGCGTGTTGAGCTGGATGGGTTGATCCGCCGACAGATTGAGGCGAGGGGGAAGGCGATGGAGGGGGGTGGATTGATGTTGCCGCTTAAACAGCATAAGGGGTCTAGTGGTGGCCGACGCGAGAGGACGAATGTGGATGTGGGACAGACGGATGGGGGTGACGATGACGATGATGATGATGACAAGGTGCTGAAGGCTGAGGATGACGACGAGGACGCCATCAACTCTGACCTGGATGATCCGGATGACCCCAAGAGCGACGACAGTGGCGATGATGAGACGCCGCAGGTCATGCTGTGCATGTATGACAAGGTGCAACGGGTCAAGAATAAGTGGTACGCATTACCCCGCCTTCTCCGTGTAACTTTGTCGGGCGGCTACAGTGTTGGGTGTTCAGTGTTCGGTTTACTGACTGTTGTTGTAGGAAGTGCGTTATGAAGGACGGTGTCTTGACCATTAATGGCAAGGACTACGTCTTTCACAAGGCGTCGGGGGAGTACGAGTGGTAACTCCCATCGCTCGATCTCTCTCACCGATTCTCGATTTTCGGTTCGGTTTGGTTGGTTGGTTGGTTGGTTGGTTGGTTGGTTACTCAGGTTCAATTGAAGCATGAGAAACAGCGAGAAATTGTACAGAGAGGGTTTTCTTCCCTATCTCAAAAACAAGGTTGTACTTCTAGATCCCGAAATAGAAATTGTCCCTTTCCTTTTCTTTTCTCCTCGAACAAAAAAAGGCCGTGGGTCGGGTGGGTGTGTGTACGTTAACAGCGTGCGAGGCTGAGGATGGATTCAACGGATTCTTATTTCGATTCCGGATTCCCCCTTTTTTTTCGGGTTTTTCCTAGTTTAGGAAATAAAAGATACATAACAATGAGACGATGACTTCTATGCTTGAAGGGCGGATGGTAACTTGTAATAGGGATATATGTGCGTGTAGGTAGATATAGATATGTAGGCTCTCCGCAATGCTTCTGAACTACAAACAGTCTTCAACCCCTTTAGATCTCTTCCCCCATGGCATCTCTACACTTACTCGCTCAATCCATTCAAACCTCCGACCCCTCGCTTCCCATCGGCCCCCAAAAATCCCTGTCGTCGAAACCCGAATCATGTCAGGGGGGGCCGAGTCACCAAACCGACCAGAAAACAACCTAACCATAACCATAACAAAAAAAAAACCCCAAAAAAACGTAGCGCCCGCTCCCATTATAGACGCCGATTTTACGCCCATGTGGGGAGAAAACAAACATACCCACTTCGTGAGAAGTAGGTGGGTGGGGGGGTATCCAGCAAAGCAAGCAACAGTACCGCCGAGAACGCTGAAACGACTATAAATGTATGTAGATAGTAGTAGATGCTGTGAAAAGATCGTCGCAAAAATAGTAATAGATAGATGGATAGATGGATGTGTTCGTTTCATTCTCTGCTCGGGGATGTGCTGCCCGAGACGGAGTGCCGTGTATGCCCTTTAATGTAGTCGATTCTTCTTCGCACTAAGGCGGTGCCAACCCCTTGCGCAAGGGGTTGGTACCGCCTCATTTGGAACTATGGTCAAACCCATTCCAAACCAGTGTATCGGTAACACATATGCCTCTCGCCGTTCGAAGGAATTATGAATCTGCGGTGTTCGATCCCGATTCGGAATATTTCAGAGCCTTAGACAACAATCCCGGTATTCTTGCGCTTCTCGGCCTCATCAACTTGGAACCCAAACACGAGGCAGTACAAGTCCTTCAGCCAGAGATACTGCCCGCTCTTCATCATCCAGCCAACGCTCTTACTGACATCAAGGGCATTAGCGCGCTTCCCCTGCGGCGGCAGCGTGACCGCGCTGCGGAACGTGGGGTCGCTGAGGATGAGGTCCTTGTAGCTGGCCAGTAAATTCGCGTGCCAAGGTAAGCAGCCGAAACTCCCCGTCGGCAGCGCCTTGACGTAGGCCTGTAGTGCGTTTGCGGGCCCAGAGACGGAGCCGTTCGAGGGCTGGTTGCGCTCGAAACCGACATTCATGGCGGCTTTGAGGATGAGGATTTTGAGGCGGGTGAGGTTTACATCTTCGGAAGTGGTGCCCTTGGCTGTGCTGGAAGTCTTGTTGCTGCCCTGGGAGTAGCCGGAGAGGTTGGAGGAATTGCTGGACCAGCGGGCCGAACTGCGCCCGTTCTCGGTGCCGAGGACGAGGATGTTGGGGATAGATGGGGAGTGGTCTTCTGGTGAGATGGGCGTGTCTTCGAATTCGGTGGTGGGGGTCTCCGGTTCGATGCGCCGCGGCTCGACGCGCTTGAGGATGCTCGGCAAGCTAGACATGCTGGACATGCTGCTGTTGCTATTTTGGTGGGAGTGTGTGGAGTGGGAAGAGCGATTAAGTTGGTCGAAGGATTGGGTGAAGGTTGTCTGGCTCGGTCGGGGCGTCCCTCGCTCTGGGCGGACTTGTGTCCAGCCTTCGCGGAAGAGATCGCAGAGCTCCCAGCAGGCCTGTACTGCTGAGCCGAGAAGCTCCTCATCGGCGTCCTTGCCTTCAAGACGGTTCTGGCGTAGGCTAAAAAGCATCTCAGCCAGAGACCAGCACGCGCGGAGCAGAGAATCAGTCTCTTGTGTTTGGTCACTCCTCTGTTTCATCAGACGATGACATAACGTGATATAGAAATCTAGCGTCCGCTCACGGAAAGCCTCGGGTAGGTTCCTATCATGAGTGTTGAAAAGATGGTTGTTCAATTCAAAACTGACTCGCAGGACCGAGTCCGCGAGATCGTTGTTGCGCTCCCGCACATCGAATAGTGCCTGGCAAAACTCTCGGCACAGGTCGAGAGTGGGTCGGCATTGGAAATCATGATGGTCGTCACGGTTATCATACAGCTTCTGGCATAATTTCCAGCAGCACTTCCACGCCTTTTCGTGGGTGTCGCCAGTCCCCGAGAAACTGAATATTCTTTCTCGGTGTATAGAGCTTAGACTGGCCAGTGTGTTGCACAGTGTCCAGCATTCATGGAGTGCCGTTTTCAACGCATTCACATCGTAGTCAGGGTCATTGCGGGCAGAAAAGCCTTGGTTGTCATCAGCGTTTTCATCAGACTCTCTAGCATCTTCGGGGATACCTGATATATGTCAGTTATATTTCCGAAAGACTTGCTCTCCAAACATACCTTCTAGACTACTTGCGCTGCTTGAACGTAATCGAGATCTCTCTGAAATCAGGTCGAGCTCTTGTCTCGTTTGAGCTCTTGGTGTGGTATTATCTGGGGTAAAGGATGTAGGCGCAACATCGGTTGATATTGGTGGCGGTGATACCGGGCTTGGAGTGATCGTCTGTTAAATATTAGCAGATGTCTGGGTGAATGGTATCATAGTGCAATTACCTTATCGCCGCTATGCGAGGAATTGATTGTGAGAGCTCCACCTTCGTGGTGGAAAGGCTTGGGTGTACACCGGTCAATATTCGGTGGTTGTTGTGGGGGGTTGTCATTCTTTGTATTCGCCTGGCCGGCCCGTTAGTTGGGTGGATCTTTCAGTTTGGTTCTAAGTTGGCCTACAAAATTCATATAACCCTGCGGCGCATGAATAACTGACGCTGGCTCGTCCTCAAGTTTATTGCGGAAGTGAGAGGGCAGGACAGTGGTTAACGAATTCAATGGTTTCTGGTACTGTTAGTGTTGGCGCATTCAGGGTCCAGGTCCCTACTAACTTGTCCATTTGTGTTGGTGGGGGCGGGTTCTGCCTCCGGTTCTTCCTCCACAGAATCATCTTCTATATCCGTTGTCTCGGTGCCATTCGACGTTACTGGCGATGGTCCCACCATATCGCTTGGGCTTGGGGCATCAATGGAAGAGAATCGGCCACCCCCATTAGAGTTCGGATGCAGCGAGGCGGCATCAGTAGAGCTCCGAGCAGACCTGCGTGGCGTTGTTAGCATGGGCCAATATTCTAGCCGACATGATTTATACATACAGCGACTGGAACCTTGGGGTGTTGGGCATGGCTGGCGAGTTTGGAGACAACGAGAATTCGGTGTATGGTGAGAAGGCTGACATCATGTTGGCAGGCGACGAGATCAAGGGCGACTCCAGGGCCATTGTTGGTGATGGGTCTGTCGATTGATCTCGGGATTCACCTTGGGGCGAGGAATCTCTGATAGATATCTGAGGAGCGGCGCCTTGCAAACCAACACCGCCTCCTGTTGAGTGGGAGTGATCCTCGGAACTAGAGGCGGGGGCGTTGGCTTGGGCCGTGGGAAAGGTAGCCGGCTCCAGGGTTGCTGCTGGCTGCCACTGAGCGACCTGGCGGAACTGGGGCTGATTGCTTTGGGTCTCAAATCTAAGGCTTTTTGGAGTTAAAAAAAAGTTGTTGAGGTTGGTAGCTTAAAAGTATCGAGTGGCAAGCGATATATGAATGCCCTGGATGGCCCGCCCGGGTGCTATTCGTGCAATCTATGCACGATGCTACACTGCAGACAAAGCTGACCACTTGATCTAATGCAGCTGCGCTGTCCGGTTCGAGGAAGTGGTGTCGTCGACGTACAGAGACAAAAGAGAGCTGAGCTACTACTCCAGCTGTTGCTGCGCTTGGTGCGCCTGGCTGATTGTGGGGTCGCAAGTGCTTGAGCACTGCCCTGCATGCGAGACTAGCTCTTTGATCAGGCCTCAAGTCAGTTCGGATCACTCTGTGCTCTGTGCTCTGTTTTGTCGCGGTTCGTCGAATCAATCAGTCGCGGGACATAGTTTTGGAGTGTATGACTCGGCGGCCTGCTGTAATTGCGAAGCACTGGCGTGTAGGGAGGTAGAGACAAAGGGTGGATTCCAGTTGGGTGCACAGGGGAAGAGTTGCTCTATCCTTAAGAGAGGGGAACCAGTCAGAGATGCAGATGCGCGTCTCCCAGGCAGGTCGCATAAGGGAAAACAAACGGCCAATAAAAGCGTCAAGCTATAGGTAGAGGGGCTCAACAGCGCATGAGGTTGCAGGTATGTCGGCGCTTAGAGCACAGTAGGGGGGCCGCTCGATGGGTGGATGGATAATTATGGTCGATGGATAAGGCCCCGCCATGTACAGTACAACAACAAAAGAATCGAAATCTGAGCAGGCAGAGGATTAGTTACAGGCCACAACCCACGCGATTGTCAATAATACTCTCAATACTCTCACCGGTGCAAGAGGCAATGCATTCCTTGGCTTATATCGACGCCAGATCCCATTTATTGGTATTTATTGGTGGATATGCACTTTCGTCCATCTGTCCGTGCCTCGACGCCGTCCAGCACCCCAACCCTTCGATGAAGGAATTGGATCGATACCGGATTACATGCTGCAACCATGCTGCAATCCTTCCAAGATCGGTGTTCATTCTTCTCGTACTGTACTGTTCTCGTAGTAGTACAGTACCGTCGGTGCCGGTCGGTGCTTCCTTCCCTGACGCCCAGAATCCAGTGACACGGCTTGGAAAAGTACATACTCAGTGGCGGATGAATGCCAATCATGGTATGCTACGAGCGTAGGCTCATCCCGCGCTGCTTCAGACCAATTGTATGTCAGAAATCCCCCAGACTCTCCTTCCTTTGACCTGAATCCGACCCAGAAACTGACGCCTTCACACCACCATAGTCTGCCCGAGTGTGCCCCCGCGGCTGAGCCCGCTTCTTGCCCTTCTCCTGCTCGACCGGTGGTAACAAACCCCCCTGGCGACAATGGGCTGATCCATAGCCTTTCTTACGTGCCCTGGTCGTTCCTTTGTATCCAGTACGTTGGATGATGGGTTTGTGGGTCCGACAGCTGGGATTTGAAAGACGAGACCCTCGGGGTCCCCCATTTGAAATACAGTACAGTACACCATGGCTTGCTTTTGTCTCAAGCCACCTCACATTGACTCGCTCCTGCGTCGATGGAGGTTCTGACGCGCGGGTGCGACCAGTCTTCACAGTACACATCTACAGAAAACACCTGCAAGCGCCGCGGCAAGCTGCAACAATGAATCTATCGAGTTAGCCCATCCGATATACCACGTTGGATATGCCAACTCCTACAAGCATTGTGCATGACTGCGTCAATTCCCCGCCCCCCCAACGCCTACCTCAAGGCCTCCCACCTGCCCCTTCATGTGGGATTACAGAGAAGGATGATCATTACAGAACCGCTGGGCTAACGCGTGTACAGCCGCGGGACCCGGGTCAAATAAGTATGCTTGTCTGGGAACACATGGTCATGCATGGTGGAGAGAGATGTGGCGGTCTAGGGCATCGTCGGGCAAGAGTCGTGCAGGACTGTTGGTTTTCCATCGGATGGCAATTGACCCTCAAATCCGGATAACGTCGAAGTGGGCATACTTCTCCAGTTCCTGCTCATCTCCAACGGCTATGTGTAAACGATTAAGCGGTGTACGTGGGTTAGACGCAAATTCTTCAGCGCTTACTCGTGCATGCATGCGTTATTGCCTCCAACTGTTGGACTTCATCGACGGCAATGCACATAGTTTGGTCACTAGAGGCTAGATCCAACAAAAACAATCTGAGACAAAATCCCAGGCTGTTGCAGGACATCAAAGTCACGCTTCATCCATTGATATACCATATGCCACAGGTTGCTAATAGTAGCCAATCCGATGGAGCTCGCTCGGTCGCGCACTGCCCTTCCTAACGTCTTTCCACTGCGTGACCTCGTTGTCGACCCAAAGGATCCTTCTCGACCAGCCGCTTAATACACCTTGGCCATGCGGCCCGAACCATGGCCATCCGATATTCGTGGCACAAACGGAACCAGATAAAAGACCCAAAAGCGGAGAACTTCTCTACCATTTCCTATCTTAGGTGTTTATTCCATCCTGGAGTCTTCAAAAACGCCTTGTCATTTTGCGAGTGCTCCACCATGCCCCATTGTGTAAACGCCAACCAGCCAAAGAATCCTAATTATCGAACGCAGCTTTGCGAGTGTCGCGCTCCGCAGGGTTATATCTGCGAGACCGTTAGCATAGGCGCTTTTGGTTTGAAGGGATATATCCTATAATTAGGTTGTTGGTCGTACTTCAAGAGCTTCTCAATCAAATCGACGTGGGTCATGACCATGCGGCGGCAACAGTATCTCTTGAGGCCAAGGTGGTCCATTGCGTCTCTGTCCAGAGGGCGTCAGTAAGAAGTAACACCGAAATAATCATCCAGTAAACTCACCCGTGCTCCTCTCCATCCTCCAGTAGCTTGATGTATGATTCCCAGAGGTCACCCACCACCTGTCCACGCGGTCAGTAAGAGGCGTGGCCAAGGAGGTGAATTCATCCACGTACCTTGCCACAGGAGAAGCAGCGCACAGGAATAATCATCGCGACTTCTGAATTGCGTGACTAGATCTATAAAAATCTGACTTTTGTGTCGTTGCTCCGACGTTGACGTTGTCGCGCAGAAGAAATGGAGGGTAAAGATAACTGTGCTGGTCGCGCGCGGTGATTTCGTGCAACTTTTTCCGTTACCAGCCTGTAATCGCGAGGCTGCCACAATCTTAGCGCCAAAATTATTTTACTTTTCCCCAGAGCCAATTTGTACGTGCTCACGAGGCGGAACGTCACAACTTACCAGCTACGGGCAACCTCTGACAACGAAATGGCTTCAGTTCTGAAGCGCAAGAGAGGGTCGGCGCAGGGAGTCGAAACACTTAAACGGGCGAAAGCAACTACAGATGTTCTGGAAGATGCTCCAACGTCTGTGATTTCCGGCGGCGGATGGGATGCAGCCTTTGCGCCTATAAATGAGCTCGCAACGGTCAATGGATCTGGTGCCCACGATGACAAAGTAGATTCTTCTGGTGCAGAAGATTTTGAGCAATATGCACAGAAAGAAGACGAATATGAGAAAAAGGCAAGGAAAGCATCCAAGTCAAAGGCTTCCAAATTGAAGGACTCCGACTGGAAAGTCTCAGCACCGATTGGAGGGCGAATGATCGACGTAGACCCTTTATTTACAGAGGGCGAAAAGTAAGGGCACACAGTTTCTTCTGATTATACAGTGGCTAATAAAAGTAATAGGTTTCTTATCGTCGCACACCGTCAATCAATTCACGTTTACTCGACGGCAACTTCGCTTTTACACCGCTCCATCGACCTGAGCGTCAACGGCTCCAGGCCAGCCAATGTACGCATCGTTGCGTACGCCCTTTCGGAGACGGACCCGAGCATGATCTGGGTGGCATGCTCAGATGGAGCTGTATATCACATCAACTGGGTTTCAGGAAGTGGGACAGATCAATTCTGGACTACTTCGTCGATGGGAATGACACACATGACGGCATCCTCAATGACATCCGCTGGTCGAACTCGCGATATCGTTTTCACGACTGAAGAGCGCCGCGACGGAGGGTGGAGAGTAACTGCACACGAGCTCACACCGCCTGGCAGCGACATCCCAACTGTTGCACGGACAATCTACACCTCTACGCAGCCCATCCATATTCTCAAGGTCGTCAAGAACGGAAGTTTGATTGTTGCGGCATCCGAGAGGAGAGTCCTGGTGGCCAACCTCAGAACCACCGACTTTGACAGCGTGGACAAGATCAGATACGAGTTCCGCGTCTTCGAATCAACCGATTACATTTCCTCCATCGACGTGCGAGTCACCTCCGCAGACAAGAGCCAGAAGTCAAAGTCTAAGGAGTCGAAGTCCAAGGCAGAGACCTTTGGTGTTGTGGATGTTGTGGTCGGAGATGTGAAGGGTTCCATTTTCGTCCACAACGATCTTCTGAGGAAGATGATTCAGTCACAGAATGCCGTCGCATCCGGGAAACCGGCTGTTGATATGCTACCTCGCAAGATGCATTGGCACAGAAAGGCTGTCCAGAGTGTCAAGTGGTCGCTGGATGGTAATTATATCATCTCTGGTGGCAGCGAGACGGTCATGGTTTTGTGGCAACTCGATACGGGAAAGAAGCAATTCCTGCCCCATCTTTCAGCCGCTATCCATAACATCGTCGTATCCCCGACTGGATCATCTTACGCGGTCCGCCTGGCTGACAACTCTGCCATGATTCTCTCTACCGCTGAGCTAAAGCCTACCGCCAGCATATCTGGTCTTCAAACCCAAGTCATTAGAGATTCAGTTTCCTTAGATGCCAGGGTCTCAAGAGTCAAGGACGACGAGCGCGAAGGGATACTTGTGCAGCACGCACCAGCAGTTATTAACCCCCTCAAACCATCACACCTGCTTCTAGCCGTTGGAGAGAACCAAGAAATCAATCCTCTGTCCAAGGAAATCCTCAGCACCCCATACCTGCAGACATTCGACGTCGCATCCTCACACAACATCTCCCGCCAGGCCTTGTCGAGAACCAACATCACCAATATCAATGTTGGGCCCAACGCCCACCGCATCTCAGAGCCCCAAGTCACTCACATGCAGATCAGCCATGACGGATTGTGGCTTGCTACCGTGGACGAATGGCTGCCTCCTCGCCGCGACCTAGAGTACCTAGGCCACTCGACAATTAACCTCGCCGACGAGCAGCGCAAGCGCCGCGAGGTTTACCTAAAGTTCTGGCAGTGGAGCGAGACTACCGAGACCTGGGAATTAGTTTCCCGGATCGATGCCCCTCACACGATGGGACCTGAGAACTACGGCGCTGGGCGAATTTTCGACCTTGTCGTAGATCCCAGCTCTCACGCCTTCTCTACTATCGGCGAAGACAGCACTGTCCGCATCTGGAGACCCAAGACCAGGACGCGTGATGGCATCGCTGTTCGCGGGAAGGATGGAGAGGCTTTGGTTAGCTGGAGCTGTCGGGGCCAGGTTACGCTGCCGAAACCAGTTTCGGAAGTTGAAGTCACTGTTCCTGGTGCTCCGCAAAGACCAGATCACGGGTGTCTTGCATTCTCTGAAGATGGCTCGGTACTCGCGGCTGCATTGACTGGCGGACATGACGCTGTGATTCACCTCGTCGACCCATCTGTCGGTACTGTCAAATACTCACGGCCTACATCATATACTGGCGATATTGTGCGGATGGCGATTGTCTCCCAATACCTCGTCACCGTGGCAGATGAAGTACGCGTATACGACATCGTCTCAAACGAGCTAAAATACGGCATCAGGCTAGGCTCAAGGCAATTAGCACTCACTCTCGAGCAAAAGGCAGAGATGATCCACTTGAGCGTCGACAGACAAAGCAAGACATTCGCCGTGGCACTTCCATGCAAAGGCAGAGAAAAGGAAGGTGTCCACATCGCAGGCACTCTAGCCGGCGTATACAGCCAGATTGCTGTATTCGAGGCCGTACGACCAGCCCCATTAATGGCACAGAGCCTCCCATACCTGCTTACCGCCCTTGTCCCCTCAGCGAATTCGCCAGGATACATCGCCATCGACGCAGCAGCTGAGATCGCCACTATTACGCCCAAGGCAAGCCAGGCGTCTGCAGTGATGGCGCAGTCGATTGCGGATCTCGGACTCGAGTCTGTGGTTGAGGAGCCAGCTGTGGGACTCATGCAGCTTGTCGAGGAGGCGGAGGCAGAGGAGATGGCTGATGTTGAGGCAATCGAGGAGGACGCCGATGACGATGGAGCGCCAGTTGTCTCGCAGCAGCAGCTCGCGAATATCTTCGACATTGGACCTTCGTTCGCTCTCCCGCCTATCGAGGAGATGTTCTATCAGGTCGCGGGTCTATTTTCTACCAAGCCGATTGGGGTTCAGTGAGCTGTGTGTGTGTTCTAGGTTCATCTTTTGTTACATAGCGAGGAGTACTTTCATGTCTTGGCAGGGCACTGCTGTAGAGTTTGAATGGAACAAACATTCAACTACACTTGAACAACCCCCATAGGGCGACTTGCCTTGCCCCTTTTATGAAATATGTAGCACGTGATGATAAGAGGGGAATGACGCCTTACCCCGCGTCTATGGCTCGGCGTCGCCTCTAGTTTACAACCGCGGTTTAACAATGTAAATCCGGTGGAGCACACGCTCCTTCTCTCCTTCATACTATTCATCGAGTATTTAATTACTTCATATTGAAAGCGTAGCTTGCTGACAACAACTGACAACGCCTGCATCTGTGCACAAACCCGAGAATGTCGTCATTCGGCTCCATCCCCATCCTCGACCTCTCACTGGCACGGGATCCAGAGACGAAACCTAAGTTCCTGGAGGAGCTAAGGCATGCGTTGCTTGAGGTTGGATTTTTGTATTTGAAGAATGCGGGGATTCCGGAGGAGTTGACGGAGAGGGTGATTAAGGAGGGGGTGGGGTTCTTTGATATTCCGTTGGAGGAGAAGTAGGTGCCATCTTATTCATATGTCTCGTTTTCTACCCCGCTATACTTGTGCCGCGCAAACAATTCAAGTGGGGCTGTGGATTTGACATCATGGCTTCCTACGAATGAGGGTTCTTGGTCCCTCCAGGCTGTGGTTATCTAGGTCTCTCTATAAGAGCCCACGGCGGCATATCAACCTAGGCAGAAGAGAGACCATAGTCACCCCCAAGACGCAATTGGAACCATACTAACCCGACCCAGACTCAAAATCGAAATGAAAACCGCCGCCTCCTTCCTAGGCTACTCCCGCCTCGACGCCGAAACCACCGCCCACTCCACCGACCACCGCGAACAAATCGACATCTCGACCCCCCACCCCCTCCCCTCCCCCACCGACCCCCTCTACCACAACCTCCTCGCCCCCAACCTCTGGCCCTCCCCCTCCCTCCTCCCCTCCTTCCGCTCAACCTTCGAAGACTACATGTCCCGCATGGGCGCCATCTCCATGTTCTTCACCACGCTGATCGCTGAGGCTATCGGTCTCCCCCCGCAGGCATTCGCGCACTACTTCGATGCGTCGCAGCAGCACAAGTTGAAGATTGTGAGGTATCCCGATCTCGCTGAGCTGGGGATCAAGGGGGAGGGACACGGCGTTGGGCCGCACAAGGACTCGATGCTGAGTAGCTACCTGTTGCAGGCGTCGGAGCATAGGGGTTTGCAGGTGCAGAATACGGCGGGGAAGTGGGTGGATTGCCCGCCGATTGCAGGGACGCTGGTTGTGGCTATGGGGCAGGGGATGGAGGCGTTGACGGCGGGCGTGTGTACGTCTACTACGCATCGAGTTTTGTCGCCTGCGCCGGGGACGGGGGCGCGGTACTCGATCCCGTTTTTTCAGGGGGTGAGTTACGATGCGACGTTTGAGAGTATGGAGATCCCTGAGGAGCTGCGGGAGTTGAGGAGGAGGGTGTTGGAGAGGAATGGGGGGAGGTTGGATGATGTGGAGTTTACGTTTAAGACGGGGAAGTATAAGCATCTTGGGGAGGCGACGCTGATGAATAGGGTTAAGAGTCATCCGGATGTGGGGGAGAGGTGGTATCCGGAGTTGTTGAGGCAGATTAGGGAGGATCAGGCGAGGGAGATGGAGGAGAAGGAGAAGGGGGCTGGGGGGGCGAAGGTTGAGGAGGCAACTGGGAAGGCCGTGGAGGCTCATTAGAGGGGTAGGGTTAGGGGTCGGTCCTCGAAATAGCTGGCCATATCCACTCTCATTGACCCCATATCCGCAAGCGGCGCACTCAGTCGTCAAGAGATAGCACATAGAATCGTAACCAAACGGTATATCATAGCTCGTTCAACTCGTCCCATCTAATACCACCAGACGCCCCAAGAGCGCCTATCGCTGCCGTAAAATCAAAATGTGATGTTCCTCCCATCCCCTCGTTGTACTCATTCTCTCACTCCGTATCTTCTCCCAGTGTACCCTCCACTCTTGTCTTGTCGACGTCCTCGTTTATGCGACAACGAAGTTCGGGAAGCACTCCGGCAGGGTCTTGCTGTGCTTATTCGTCGCATGCTCGGTGAGCGCCGGCGCACGACTCGTCTTCAAAAAAGTCGCCTTGCAGATATTGCATTGGACGTCCATAGCCCGCTCGTTCTATCGTATCGTTCATCGCGTCAGCATCACCCAGCAAAGCCTAGGCCCCAGCCCTTCGCCGGATCAAGTCACGAAACCTCTTTGCGCGTGGTTACCACTCGCAGGTACGAGGACCCGGAGGGCTCACACGGGGTCGAGGCGGCATGTGGATGGACATCATGTGGCTGGACTTACGACTTTCTTCTGAGACTTCGCGGCGGGCTTGGCGTCTTTGGCTGCGCGTTCGCGCTTGCTCGCTGCCTTGGCTCCCTAGGAGGTTTTTTGATCAGCTTTGCGCGGGGGGTGGTTGGGGAGGTTGGGGGGGGCAATGTCTTACGTTTCCTCCACCCATATTTGCGGATTTGAGTTAGTTGGAGACTTTGGTGGTCTTGAAGCTGAGAGGTGTGCGGAGAGAGTGGCGTGGAGGTTTCGTGGCGTGGGAATTCCTTTTTTTTGGTGAGGCGGAAAATCAAATTATCGTAGATGGAGGGGGGGGTTGGAAGGAAGAAATTCCCAGTCGCCCCGCACTAGAGGAATCTGTCAATCAATCAGGACAGGAGAGTTCCACTAAATGTCCGCTAAGTTCGCCCCTAGAAAGACCGAAAGACCGCCTAGGGAGAGCCTAGAGCAACTCGTGACCAAACTTTTCGCTTTGCTCAAGGTTCAAGTTGTTACTCCGTATGTAAAGGTACATAATCTACCTACTCTTCGAAATTATTACTTTAACTCCCTCGCTCGCTCCCATGCTCACTCCAACGCTCGCTTGCACACTCGCCCGTGGTTGAGCGACGAAATGCAGTTAGGGCACTCTAGGCTCTTAAGCAGAGAGGGTTAGCAGTTGCATACACTACTGAGTTTCAATAGCATGCAACACTCGCCAACTAGGGAGATGAGGCTATCTGCAGCCAATTCTACACAGGTCTAAAAGACCATGTAAAGGACGAAATCTCTAGGTCTAACAAACTAGATGACCTTAGGGAGATGATTGAATTAGCCTAGAAGATTGACAATTAACACTATAAACGGCAACTTAAGAAGAAGTAGGGACCACCTAATTAATACTAGACTTAGAAGAGAAGACAAACAAGAGTCATTAGCCCTAACCTATAGAACTTGATGCTACCAAGCCTAATGGCAAACCCTACAATCCTAACAAGGAGCAACAGCTTAAGGAATGGCTCTGCTTCAACTACAACAAGCCTAGACATTTAGCGTGAAATTGCAAGCAACTAAAGAAAGGGAACAGCAGGCGAAAGTATAGCAAACAGCTTAATGCCACTTAGCAAGGTTAGGGTGGGTACAATGCCCTACAAGACAGCTATGTGCCACGTTATAGGGAAAAGAGACCTATAGCATTAGTGCTTAGGATCTCAAGGAATTCGACACGTCAAATGGAAAAGACAAGAGTGACGACTTGGTGGCAGCTGAAGTCAAAGAGCTCACTAGCTTGTAGAAGCATTAATTACAAGTGTTTAGGAAAGTGTAAGTAAGACTGTCTTTAAAGAACAGCTACTAGGAGTAGTAAGGACCTTTAAGGAAGCTATGCTCTAGGGCACAGTTGATTAAGGAATTCCTATGCTAAAGCCACTAACGAGCTAGCTAGGCACTACACAAGACTAGGAGGTTATAGTCTACACAATGAGGTGCTGACTAGAATACCTATACTAGGAACTACGTAGAGCGAACTACACAGAAAAAGAAGCTATAGAATGGCTAAAGTACAAACTTTGCGAATATAACATCTAGGATGCTATCGTAGAAGGAAGAATCTTTAACATATATCACCCTAACAAAGAGATCTATAAGGATTGACAAGAAAGCCTATTGTAAGTACTAGAGCAACTAGAGCTAGGGGAAGGATATAAAGGACCACAGCCTATAGAGATAAGCTACGAACAATTACAAGTTTGAGGAGTCCATTCCTAAGGAGAAAGGGAAAACACAAGTGTGGGAATTATACTAATGTCTACAAGATGCAGCAGAACAAGTAGAGGAAGGACCACCACCTCAACTGCCATTAGAGGATGACAGGTATGACGTTTACTACTCTAACGAGTCAAAAAACTAGGAATCCTTAACAGTAGGCCACTAGCAAGTGACACAAAGAGGCCTAGTACAAACTAGCTATGTGCCATAACAGGTGACATGTAGCTATATATAGTTCCTAAGACACAACAGCAATACCTCTAAGCTATGATATGTAATGGTGGGTGCACCAGATGTGAGAATCTAGCCACCCAAGGAAGGGATGAATTTACTAAGACAACACACTGTCTTAGAAAACAGAGCCAAAGGGTCGTAGCTTAGACTATTCCACAACGCAGCAATCAGGTGTGTGATGTAGTGAAGTGGTTCAGACAAGTTGCAACAAATGTTGAGTCTGGGAACTCAGGGGTAAGTCAGAGGTTAATACCTCACTGACTTTTCAGAAACAAGGAGTAACAAGATCAATGCTTGGAAGCTTGGAAAAGACGTGGAAGTATGTGATAGTCGATTTACTGTATTGTCTGCTTGCCCTTTCTTAAGGAAAGGGCAATCCTATTTATGCTAAAGGAGTGTAGTTCTCTCATTTTCCAAGACTTTCCATGACTAACCAGGCTTGGTAACTGTAGTCGACGTAAGAGAATCCCATAGAATTATCTCTTAGGTTCGTAGCCTATAGGAAGTAAAAGGAGGTCCAAGGTCAGAGTACCCCTATAGACAAATTATGTATAGACAAATTATGTCATAGACAAATTATGTCATAACTTAACCAATCTTGTGGGTAACTAAAGAGCGATGACATGTAATGAATCATAGATGGTTGTAGCAATCGTTGAGTAGTATTGCTCTTGTTGTTGGTGTGATAAGCCAAAATATGTATAGTGACTTGTAGGTTTGAGGAGGAGATTTCCAAGTTTGCTCTTGAGTTTGATAGCAAACTGAGTGCAACGAATGTCAGTATGACATCTAGGACTTCAAACATTTCCTCTACAGTTTGAAACTTGTTCTGAGTAGATCGAAGGCATGGATTGATGTGAGAGGAGGCTTTGCCACCTAGTCTGCTTTGCACATAACCCATCTGAAGGGCTGGAGTAGGAAAATGGTCAAGGTTCGCCTCGAGCTTCATCTTTATCTTAATGCTCCAATCGTCATAAGCTGGCTCTATTCCGTCTGTGAGAGTAGGAGGGTCTGGGATCTTAGTGGATTTCTGGTGTGATTCTCTATTGCGAGTAGTGCTGCTTTTTGACTTCTCATTTTCAAGATATTTCACAACAGCAGCTTGTCCTGCCATTGTCTGCTCATGAGCTTGGATAACCTCTTGTAGCTGGCTGATATTGTCATCATATGTAGCCTTCTCCTCTCGACTCTTCTGGAGGGTAGTATTGTAGAGCTGGGTGACATGATCATAATCCTCCATCATCTGCTTTTGGATTTGAAGCGCAGCCTCTCTCTGGGCTTGGATCCAGGTGCTACCCTTCGCATTTGGGAGCTTAAAGACTGAGAGGTCTTTAAGCTCCCAAATGCAAAGGGTAGCTTGGTGTTCTGGATCCTCGAGTAGTGTTTCCCTTCTATTGTAGGTGTGGCTTTCTAAGCAGTCCTCATTGCTTGTAGTAGATTGGGTTTCTTGTCCTTGATCTTGACTCCTGTCACGGATGACATGTCCTTGTGCATCGCATGCCATTATAGCAGGCTTCGCTTCTTGTCCTTGGAATTGTCGAGGTCAGGATCTTCTTCTGACTTTGTTGGTATCAGGAACTAGACACGTATGTGGTGAAGGCCCTATTATGCAGTTGTCGGCCGTATGAGCCACTCAAGAGGAGCGCACTTCCGTCACGGTTATATCCTTGTTGAGGGAGCATCACGGAAAGGTCTAATTCTGCTGATATAATGTTCTGGGTTCTGATGCTTGAGTGTGGTATTGAGTTGACTTGTGGTTTCTGGATTTGATGTTCTGGTGTTCTGGTTCTGGTTCTGGTTCAATGTGTAGCTCTGGTTGGTCTGAGTTTCGATTTCTGGTTCTGGAGGTTCTGTTGCTCAAAGCTTTGTGCTGGTTTCTGGTTTCAGGGTTCTGTTGCTCGAAGGTTTGTGCTGGTTTCTAGTTTCTTGCTCAGGATGAGCTAATGAAGAAATGTGATTCAATCTTATGTTACGATGGTCATAGAGGTCATGATGCCAGTCCAGGAAAAGTAGTTGTGTTCTTTAGCTGTAATGATGAAATCATCACTTGTATAACTAACATGAGAGTTGAGCAATAGCACCTTTGTATTCTCATGTAGAGCTGTATACTCTCTAAAGTGCTATAGCCACTAGAGAGCAAGCTAACTGTTTAAAAACCCTAAGTTAGAGAGCAATATTAGCTCTGTGCTAGTAAGGTTGGTGTAGTACTAAGAATCAATATGTATTTTGCCTAGAATGACAAGTATAGGTGGTATGACTTTTCTAAGAGCAGACACAGCCTTAAGTATAGTAATAGACATACGGTTTTTGGGGCTTACGGTATAGAGCTCTTTTGCTACTAGTGGTACAATTACCTACTCACCACCTAGGATTCCTACCTAGAAGCTAGTTTCATTTATATTCCAAATTGACTCTAGCTATATACTATGCTGTAGTATAAGCTCAAGGTAGTCCTGAAACCAATTGGTAATTGTAGGATTATCTTGAGCCTTAAGTATGCTGCTACATAATTGGCTTTGTAGTTAGGGTTAGCAAAATTATTTAACGTACATGTATAGCGAAAGCGCCAAACAAGCGAAAGCGCCAAAATGATGCGGTGACCAAACCCCCCAACTAAATGTTAAATTCCTCAACAACAAAACATGCCCCATAAAAACGATGAAAGCCAATTAGTGCTAGCTATCCAGGCTATGCAAAGCGACCCAAAGTTACGCCTTCGAGTTGCTGCTAGGATCTATTCTGTGGACCACCGCAAGCTAGGTCGTCGTCTAGAAGGTGTACCTTCACGACGCGATATCCAAGCCAACTCACGGAAATTAACTAACCTAGAGGAGTCCGTCCTTGTTCAGTATATACTCGACCTAGCTGCCAAAGGGTTTCCTCCTCGGCTGTCTGTTGTTGAAGATATGGCAAGTCGACTACTTGCAACACGCGACGCGTCACGCGTTGGGTCGCGTTGGGCTTCAAACTTTGTTAAGCGGCGTGTAGAGCTCCAGACACGCTTTCAGCGCAAATACGACTACCAGAGGGCTAAGTGCGAAGATCCAGAAGTTATTAATGGCTGGTTTGAGCTTGTGCGTAACACAATTGCGAAATATGGTATCGATGAAGCAGATATCTACAACTTTGATGAGACTGGGTTTATGATGGGCGTTATCTCAACTGCTATGGTTGTAACAAGCTCAGACGGGC